CCCGCAAGACACACACACACACACACACACACACACACACACTATCTGCAAAATCCTGGGAGAGAATTGGAAATCCACAAGATGTAGCATGGAGTTTACAATCACAGCAGCATAGCTAAGCCTCATGACGACCCAACAAGTTCTGTGTTCCTATTTCACAGACAAGAAAAATAAGCTGCAAACAGGTGAAGATAATGTGACATAAATGCAAACAAAGTAGTAGGAAGATCTAAATAGAGGCAGTGGCATAGGAAGGATGGGAAGGGAAATTTTACTTTTAGCACCTTCTCTGTGTCAGGCTAGATGACATAGACATACATGCTTTTCATGCAGTCAATCCATGACCAATTTATTTAGCCTTGGAAATCATCCTGAGAGTCATTAACCCATTCTAAAGCCCAGGAAACGGAGGCTTTGGGGAGATAAAGTGGGACAAGCCCACTAGTTGCTGGCCAGTAACCATTTGCTCCTTCCTTACAACAGAACCCCAATTTCCTTTGATGCAACAATGTGCTTGGTTAGAAAATTTGCCTCTTAGGCTCCCACTGGCCAAACTTGGGACAATTTGAACATTATAACACTTTGACAATGTGAGTTTATGACAACTAACTTTTATTTTTAATATGTCTTTATTGATTTCAGAGAGAGGAAGGGAGAGGAAGAGAGAAACATAGAAACATCAGTGATGAGAGAGCCATTGACTGGCTGCCTCCTGCGTGTCCCCCTCTGCACCCCCCGCGGGGATCGAGCCCAACACCAGCACGTGCCCTGACCAGTAATCTAACCGAGAGATCTCCTGGATTGTAGGCCCATACTCAACTGTTGAGCCATGTGGGCCAGGCAACAATTACTTTTTTATAATCCAATGGTCCATGGGGAGAGTGGAAGAAAGAGAGAGAATAGAAAAAATGGGGAAACTTCTGTACAAAAGAATACCAGCAAATCAATGTGAGATTTTAAAATTGCCATTTGCAAGATGTAAGATGGCTGCAGTCTAAGGAAGTTTCATCTGCTTGCTCTCAGCACCAGACCAGACTTGTGGCTAAACTGCAGAACATTTGACTTGAAAAACCAGCTGAAAAATAGATGATCTGAAATACTGTGAGTGGGGAGCCCGGAGAGGGAACAGGAGAAGACGGGGAGCGGGGAAGCAAAAGAAACAAAATGTAAAGCTAAAGAAAAAAGACGGATTTGAAAAGAAAGGAGACTCACGGATAAACATATTCAGCATAGATACATCCAGAAAAGATGAAAAATAGATGCATACCCAATCACAGGGAGAGGGAGAGAGAGAGCTTGAGGGAGAGAGGGAAGATGAAGAAGGAAGGGGGAAGAGACCTTAAAGCAAAAGAAACCAGCAGCAAATGCAAAGGGAGCCCAGGGTATGGGAGAACATATTTGCCAATGATACATCTGATAAGGGGTTAATTTCCAAAATATATAAAGAACTCATACAACTCAACAAAAGGAAGACAAACAATCCAGTTTAAAAATGGGCAGAAGACCTGAATAGACACTTCTCCAAAGAGGACCTACAAATAGCCAAGAGACATATGAAAAACACACTCAGTGTCGCTAATCATCAGAGAGATGCAAATTAAAACTACAATGAGGTATCAACTCACACCTGCCAGAATGGCTGCCATGAATAAATCAGCAACAACAAGTGCTGGTGAGGGTGCAGAGAAAGGGGAACCCTAGTGCACTGCTGGTGGGAATGCAAACTGAGGCAGCCACTATGGAGAACAGTGTGGAGTTTCCTCAGAAAATTAAAAATGGAGCTGCCTATATAACTCTTTCCTTCCATTCTCCTTTCTCTTCCCCTTCCCAGCACCCCTTCCCGTTGCTCCAAAATAGTAATTCCTTTAAGCCTTGGTAGCCCCCATTAGGGAATTAGTTGTTGGATCCTTGAGAGGCAAAGGTAGATCAAGGTGTCTTCCTGGTTGGGGGGTG